GACGAAAATTTAGGAAATAAAAAGAACAACTTTTTTTTTTTATTATAAGAAGTTTGCATTTTTACTTTTTTAGAAATCGGAAAAGTTTCTATTGAGGAAATTAGGTTGGAACTTGGAAGGATCTTTTAAGAAACTTCGCCAAAGACTAAAATCGAAGTCTCTTTGTATGAAAACAAGACATTGTTATATTAGTATCTTACAAAAAAGAAGTTCTCATTAAATAAAATTACTCAAATATTGATTTTCCAAAACTTATTCGAAACCTTAACGCAGAAATTTAGTTTTCTAAAAGTTTATCTAGTACTAGCTTTAAAAATTTAAAAGAAATCTGAATCCAAACTTAGGAATCAACACTGTTCCCAGGTTGTCACTGGGTTAATTTTTGTATGATATTTTCAAGTCTTAATTATGCAGAGTCGATAGTCTACAGGAAATAATTTTTCTATTTTCATAAGCTAGGGGTAAAATCTACGTATATTCTATCTTTCTTGTACTCACTTGTGGAATACACTGAGTATATTATTGTTGTTGTTATAAGTCTTAATTATGCAACAATAATCGAATGATTTATATATTATCTGAATCCAATGAATCTTTTCTTGTTTATTTCTACAAACACTTAGTACAAGATGGGCTATTCTAGAAGGCATCCAAGTTGTCAATCAAAAAGGAAAAATAAATTAACTTGGAATTATCAAAAGATTCCTCAACACCATTTTCCTCAGTTTAATAATACTAACAGAAACAGATGTTATTGAGGCCACAGCACTTGGAATTGGGATAGGAAAATACCAAAGCTGGCATGGTTTTTAATACTCCACTTGGTTCAAGGTATTTATATATATATATATATATCTTATAAGCAGGAATAAAAGGACGACCAATACGACAAATTTGAAAATTTTATTAGATATAATTGTGCATAGAAAGAATCCAAATTGTCAATTAGAAAAGGGAAAAAGAAGTACTAGTAAGATAACATTATAGTACTTAGTACATTATTCTAAGATTCTTCAACACTATACTAACAGAAACAGATGTGATATGTCTATATATAGAGTGTGTTTGAGACCCCAGAGATCACGAGGATGTGTGGGGATTAGAACAGTTGGCTTGGTTTTCTTATACTCCACTTGGTTCAAGGATATTTCATCAAAAGAAAGGAATGAAAATTGGGGTAAGCAATTTACTTTTGGTTCCCATCCGGATTGTTTGTTACCGGGTTCGACTAATTCGAATTTGTGTCACAAAATTTTACTTTGGAAATAAATATTCCTATAAAAGGTGATTTCATTCTTACTATTCTAATTCATAATCTATGGTTAAAGTTAGAAGAATACTTTATTCTTGTCACAACCTTTCATGATCACGGCGCCCCAACCCTAAATAGGCTCCAAAAATTTAAGGCCCCAAAAATTACTAGTATTTTGTGTATATAGTAGTATATTATTTATATAATTATCTTTTATTATTGATAAATTTATTTCTTTATTGTCATATTAATTTTTAATAACTCAATTGCTTCCTCTAATTAATATAATTAAAATAGTTTTCTGTCAATCTTATTTTACTTTTTTACTTAAATATTTCTCTATTCATTAGTTGGTCACGTAACTATATCTAATAATCTAACTTATTATTTATTTTACTTACATAAATTATATTTTCTTCGTCCCAATTTATATGAAAGTGTTTGACTGGACATGGATTTCATGAAATAAAGAAAGACTTTTGAAACTTGTAATCTTAAATAAATCATAAAAGTTTTTGGGCTAGAAATCATCTCATTAATGGTAAAAAGAAAAAATCTAAAGTTGAATTGTTACCAAATATAGAAAGGGATTTACTAAAAAAAAGGAGTCACTTATGTTTTCTAGGTTCTCCCATTTCAGTTGTGATGCAATCAACGTTAAATTCATTTAATTTTCTGTGTTTTATAAAACTAAGTTCTCATTTTTTTAATTTTACATCCTCACTTGTCTATTTTTAACAAAAATGATGTTTATTAAATAATATATATTAAGGCCTCTTATTAAGATTTTGCTTTAGACTTCCGATGAGATTGGATCGTCCTGTAATCATGATGCACAATTGCAAAAACATTAATAATGATGGCAAACAATGAGTGGACCAGCTCAATCTTCAGTTTTCACCTGTGACATTAGGCTAAAAATCAAAGAGTGGGGAACCTTCAAATCGTGAAGTGAATGGCATCTTTTTTTTAAAAACAACAACGTGTTGCATTAAGTTCTCTCTGTGCATGAGATTTAGGGAAGCGTCGGATAGTAAGAGTCTATTGTAATCTTACCCTACATTTTTATAAGAGGTTGTTTCTACGATTCGAACCCTTAACTTTCTGGTCACGTGACAATGACTTTACCAGTTACGTTAAGTCTTCCTTTTCAATGACAACTTAATAATATAATTATTATTTATATTTTAAAAGTGAAATATTAGATAAGCATTTTGATCTTATTTGCTTGGTGGGATCGTCACCACTTTCTTAAGAGGAAAGTTTGAATTAATCAGTTGTCCTGCAATAATTGAGGTCCATTTTGATATTATCTAGTAACCACATGCCTCCTTCAAATTGTGTTGTAATTTATTAAAGTACAACCTTCTTAAATGTGTATTACTCTTCGGTTCACTTTTAATTGGTCAACATACTAAAAATACATTTTTATTTTTACTTGTTCATTTTAACAAATCAAAAGAAAAACAATTTTTTTAATCTTGTTTTATCCTTATCAATATCTACTATCTAATCCCCAAATCATTTCCCAATTTTTTAGAAATATTTATCATTATTATAGGTAAAATTATATAATANTTTTTTTTTTTTCTCTTTAACGTCGAAAGTAGATGTGATTCAAGCCCAACAAAGAACTCAATAGTAACAAGCCAAGTGTGTCAATTATGTTAGCTTAACTTGTTTTATAGAACGCAATAATCAAGTTAATGGTAGTTCACATTTAGTAAACATCCCGACAACTAATTAAGGCTATTTTTGGTATTACATCACTTTTAGCTAATAAAATAATCACCTCAATAATATTTACACGCATCAATAATCCAGCAAAATATATACCAAATTACCAATACTAGTGCGCATATTAATTAACAAGATATCCAACCCGCCAATAATAATATGAAACAATAGTCAAATGGGACTATTATTTAGTGAAATTAAAAGAATATATGATAATATTAAATACCTTACAACTAAGGAGTAAAGTAACTCTAAATCTTGCATAAGCATGGAATTTGGGATTACGTCTATCTAGCAACACCAGTAGCAACAAGTCCCAGGTTGAGGGATTCAACCTAGTTCTCAAAAGAATTAAGTCCAAATTTCCTAGTACTTTTTTTAATTTAAGTTTCCTTTTCAATTTAATACAGAAAAGTCCACCTTCTCGCCGTTCACAATATTGTATGTGGTGAAGTGGATGAGGCTGCTCCTCCCTTAATTAAAAATTTTGAGTTCGAGCCATGAGTATGAAATTTTTTTTGGTAGGGAGCACTACTCCCCGAATGGCTCCAATGCGGGTACCGGACACTTGTGGAAACCAAAAAAAAGAAAAAAGAAATGAAAGATGACACAATTGCTTACACAATTAAGTTATTAGACGAAGTAGTGCTGCAAAAGATATGCTACTTTCTCATCATTCATAAAGTTTTGGGTTTCATTGTTTTTATTGTGGCATATATTAAAAGAATAGAATTCAACGATTGAAAGCAACAATTAGAGGGTACATCTTTCAACGGGGACGAAAATCTTATTTAAATATTACTATTGTTTAATTAGTGAAAATAAAATAAGATATCTAATTATTTTTTTTTTTGAAAATTAGCCATTTGTCCATGGATAATATTTGTCCATATAAAATAACAATATTTACTCACGAAACTTCTAATTCTTGAAATCAAAATATTGTCTGTGTCTCAATTTATGTGATACTTTTTGCTTTTCAAGAGTAAATTTGAGTAATCTTCAAAGCTAAACTGAGTTATATAATTATGGCATGTTTTATATCATAAATTTTTTTAAAAAAATCTAAAATTATGTATCAAATCAAATATCATCATATAAAATGGGACGAGGGAGTACTACTTTTACTTTATTTTGTATGGCGCATATCAAAGATATTTTTAAAAATTGTGATTTTAAATGTGTTGCTAGAGTTTTATGATTATAAAAAATGTTATTAAAAATAAAATAAAAGCTTAAAATAAATAAAAAAATCAAATTTAGAAATTTATCTTGCTCTTTCAAACGAATTAGAATGAAAAGAATCTCATATAAAACAAATAATTATATGAGCTATATAAAAATGGTTTTAAAAGATTAAAAGAATGTTTCAGACCGCACATTATAGACAATTTAAAATGGGAAGCAAACAGCTTAAGCATGAACCTTGCATGGGTTGAGTTCCCCCCTATCTAAAGTGTTACTCCCCTGTGACTTTCTTATTAATACATAAATGGAATAATACATTCTTATATTTAAAAATATAATATTAAAACTTTTATTTTATTTTTAATAAAAAAACATTAACAGCACACAAATTTTATAGCATATATAAGAGTATACGTATTAAATATCTTATAATCACAAATTTTAAAAAATTTGCTTCTTAAAATTTATGTCGAATCAAATTATATCACATAAATTGAAACAAACGGAATACTAAAGTAAGTCCGAGCACTATTGCTATATTTAAAATGATTAAAGTATATCACTCACAATATTATTAAATAAAATTACACACAATTTTCGTTTAAGTAATTTAATTATAAAATATTTTTTATACTACAAATATATGTAAAACCTAAACTCAAATAATAATAATAATAAATAAAAATAAAAGACAAACCGTCGTCCTGAAATCTCTCTTCTGTCCTCCAAGTAAAACCTACCAGCGCATTATGCGAATATTCGATTTTTCTCGATTTCCACAAAACCCCTCCCCTACTCTGTTATTATAAATACCACCTCTTTCCTTCAACAAAACCCCAAACACCAAACAAAAAAGCCTAAATAATAATATGAGCCAAGCCTTGAAAAGCGACTTCCAAATCTGCGAAGAAATCGGGCGTGGTAGATTCGGTACCGTCTACCGCTGCTTCTCACCGGTCACCGGTCATTCCTTCGCCTGTAAATCCATCGAAAAATCCCTCCTCCTCGATTCCACCGACCGTGAGTGCCTCGACAAGGAACCCAAGATTCTCCAGCTCCTTTCTGGTAGTCCAAACATTCTTCACCTCTACAAAATCTACGAAGATGAAAACTTCCTTCACATGGTAACCGACCTCTGCCCTAACAACGATCTTTACGAGCGGGTTTCCACTGGGCCGTTATCCGAACGCGCCGCCGCTAACATTCTGGTCCAATTAATTTCCGCGATTAATCACTGTCACAAAATGGGGGTGGCCCACCGCGATATTAAGCCGGATAATGTTCTTTTTGATTCGCAGGACAGGTTGAAGTTGGCTGATTTTGGATCTGCGGAGTGGTTTGTTGGGTGTGAGGGGGGGTTGATGAGTGGGGTGGTGGGTACGCCGTATTACGTGGCACCGGAGGTTTTAATGGGGAAAGAATACAATGAGAAAGTCGATGTGTGGAGCGCCGGTGTTATTTTATATATTATGCTTTCTGGGGTTCCTCCTTTTTACGGTGAAACTACAACTGAGACATTTCAGGCTGTTTTAAGGGCAAATTTGAGATTTCCCACTAGGAATTTTAGGTCGGTTTCGCCTGAAGCTAAGGATTTGCTGAGGAAGATGATCTGTAAGGATGTTTCTAGAAGGTTTTCAGCTGAACAAGTCCTGAGTATGTATTTTTGGCCCTTCTTTTTGGCTTTCATTTTAGTTTGACTTTTGGTCAACTCCTGCTGATTTTGATGTTATTTTTGTTAAATCCAGGACACCCGTGGGTAATTAATGGAGGAGAGACTAGATCAATGGCTGATTTAACCTGAAGATGATTAGTGGTGTTTTATGAACTAATCCTATCTTATAAATACTAGCAGTAAAAAATTTATAAGCTTCTGCTGTATATACACCAGCCCCAATGTTTGAAGATTGGAATGGCCTATGTGAAAAAGAAGAGTATGAGAAAGGAAAAACACCATAGCAGGGGCTACTCAAGGTTGTGTATAGCAGGGGTTCCTCTTTTTTTAAACCTTTTTTTCTCTATGCTGTTGTGCTGTGGAGAAGAATCTTTTGAGGATAATGAATCTCCTATATAGTATATGATACTAAAAAGAAAAAGAAAAAAAAAAGAAAAATATTCGGCTATGTAAAAATCTATGCTTTTTTCCCACCTTTATGTGTTTTTGGAATATGAAAGGTTGAGGAAGTGAGGGAAGGATAAGTGCTTATCCTTCAGTTTTGTAATAAAGTTTACTGCTTTTATAATAATATGGTCTTTATGATATTATAGTTTTGCAATAAAGTTTGTTGCTTTTATAATATTATGGATCTTTTAACATATTCTCTATAATATTTGTGTTAATCACAGAATGAAAATACAATTCCTACCTTTTATTATTAAGGTGGAAGTGAGTTTTCAACATTTGGATTATGTATTTCTGCTTTATGATATGAATCTTGAATAGTAGTTTACAACCTGATGAAAGTTGTATGAAAACATAGGGTTGAGTTTGAGTAGTTTGATTATTAATTTCCTGTTTTAATAATGTTGGAAGTATAAATGTTCTGTAATGTGTTTCTTTAGTTGGGAATATCAAACGAGAGGCTATGTCTTTGAGTTTTCTAGGAGGTAAATGTTGATAGCAAATGCTTCTCTCGATAATATCTGTGAAAATCAGAAAAAGTATAATTTTTAACCCACAATTTCAAAAGTGCTTTGTAATAAGTTCAATGTAAGAAATTAAAATTAAACCCGTTAAATACGGGTTTTTGATCCAACTCTTTAAAATAGTGCATTTATCCTCTTAAAATCCTTGATCTACCTCTGTCTAGATTAAAGAGTTTTGGTTATGTAAAAATTTTCCTGAGCGGAGGGTCTATTGAAAACTGTCTCTCTATTCTCACGTAGGAGAAAGATTTGCGTACATACTATCCTTTTCAGACTCTATAATATGAGATAATATTGGGTATGTTATTGGACACGTAAAACTTAATGTTTTTCCCACCTTTATCTATCTTTGGAATGAGAAAGGTTGAGTAAGTTAGGGAAGCATTAGTTCTTACCCTTTGGTTTTGATTAGACGAGCACTATGTATTGAAGTTTGTTGCATTATTATAATGCTATGTCTTGCGCCATTTGTTTCTGTTGTCCAATTATTTCTGTTGTCCTATTATTTTGTTGCTGTTATTGTCTGTTTATTGTTTATTTTCACTATTGATGAGCTGGTGGTCTATCAAAAACAATTTCTCTATCTTTTCTAGAGTAGTGTTAAAATCTGCGTACATATTATCTTTCATATCTCACTTGTGAAATTTCACAGAATATGTTGTTTCTGCCATTATAATGCTATGTATCTTTAAGATACTTTATAATGTTGGAGGATGTATGTGGTGGAATCACACATAGAAAGCACCATCCCTTCTTACTGTTGTTGAGGAGTGCTTTTTGAGCATTTGGTATTATGTTTTTCTGGTTTACTGATGTGAATCTTGAATTGTGTGCAACTTGATGGAAGTTAGTATGAAAGCATCTGATTGATTTTAATATTTTCTGCTTTATTGATGTGGAAGTATCCAGAAATTCTGTAATGTGTTTCTTGAGTCTGGGATATTTGGTAGCATATTATTTGGCATATTCTAATATTCCTCCCCATTTTGTCTGTGATTCTTTTCCACTAGACTTTGTTGCTACCACTTACAATAGAAGAGTCTCAGCTTTTATAAATATTAGTTATGTTTGGTTGCTTTTTCCATTGGGGGTATAAGTATATATGGATAAGTTATATAACAAATCTATGTACTGACTTATCCAACATAGAATGTAAAATAACTAATACATGAATTAAACAATCAAATGACCAAGAAAAAGTTTATCTTTATTATAAATTACACATTGTATAACAAAAATAAAGTAAACATATAAAAATTAATCTCTACATCACAATTCATAAATTACTAATTCATGCCTTATTAATTTATACATAATTAATCCCTTCATAATTAAATCATGCTGACTAAACTCTGCATAACAAATTTCTACATAACTAATACTTGCATAATTAATTCATACATAACTCTAATCAGCAACCAAACGACCCATAATCGTGAAAGTATGAATTAATCGGACAAGTGAAAAACGAACACCAAATAGCTAAACAGAAAGAAACAATGTTAAAGCATAATAAGTATATAACTTTATTAGCAACAAATAAAAAAGAGCATATATTCTGCTCGGACGGATTCATCTAGAAGAATGTAAAAGCAAAAGGGACTTGAGAAAGTACAGTTGATAGTACTTATCTTTACAAAGGAGTGGGGGGATTATGTAGCTTTATTAGATATGAGTGGAAATGGAATCTACAAAAATGAACTGTCCAGCTTTAAATTCTTTATATTTTCTTCTCGTTCTGTCATTTGCATTTTGAATACTAGCATATGCTTCTGACTTTTAAGCCACGAATAAGAATCTTTTATAGTAAATATAATCAATTATGTGTGTGTACACGAATTAGCTTCAACTATATTCCATTATATAAGTTAGAAAAAATGAATATTCTATTAATATAAAACTGAGTTTGTTTGGATCACAGTTATGCAGTTTTCAACTGACTAATGATTTCTCGGTCCTTTTATTCCCAATAATGTTCCGATGTTCAACTAACTAATTATTTCTCATAAATCATAATGATATTTATTTTTTAAATTACATTTAGAAAGATCCTTTATTTTATTATATTAATGCATTTAAATTTGACCTTTAAGAAGTAGGGAGGGGAATGAAATTGTAAATACTCCTCTATATTTGAATACTAACTATGAACCACGGGTAAGGAAAACGACAAAGAAAAAGTTGAAAGAGAAAAAGGAGAGGAGAGAACTCAAGAGAACAAATAGATTAAGGGTCCATTTGGCCATAAATTTTTAATTTTCTTTTTGAAATAAGTGTTTGATCATTTGAAGTTGAAATTTTTGTCGAATTTGAAAATTTTTAAAAAGTTAATTTTTAAATTTTCATTTCAGATCATTCACAATTTTTTTTTAAAAAACTTCAAATTATATTCATTTTCAAACACAACTTGAATTTTCAAATATCATTATCATTTAAAAAAAAATATTTTTTCCCGAAATTTTATAATTTTTATGTCCGAATGACACTAATAAAGTCATTGCAGCTCCTTGGAGGACTTAATCGGTGCATGAATTCAAATTTGTCGGATTAATGAACTTTGAATATAAAATAATTGAAAAGAGAAACTCATGTATTATATAAATTGATTAATATTAACCAAAAATAACTGTGTCTAAATTCGTTTTTTTACTGCAAAATTAGTGGTAAATGTATTTTATATTTAGGAGTTCCTTTGGTAGGATACATTAGATAAAATAATACAAGCATTAGTTTTATGTATTAATAATATCTTGTTTTATACACCTTTTGAACATATGCATTAGTTATACAAGTATTAGTTATACATCCTATTTGGTATTAACTAATGTACAGAAACCATGTCATTAACAATGCAATGAGTTTTAATGCATGCATTAGCTTAGTTAAAGACAAAATTGTCCTTCAAAATTTATGTTTGATTAAAATATGCTATTATATTAATGCAAGTTTAAAATAATCCAAGAAAGCAGAAAATAAAATTTTATCCCTAGTAAATAAATAAATATGTAGCATACTTCCTTTTTTATAAATAAATATTTAGTTCTACACTAGAATATATGTAGACAAATCAAATAATTTTTTCTAAACTTTTTTTATATAAAAACATTCCTCAACATATGTTTCTCTTAAAAAGATAAAGTGATAGATTGGTTATGAGAGTATTTTTGTAAACAATTTATTTTTAGAAATTATGCAATGCTTTAATATCTCAAATCAAACAATGAATAAGAAATATGTCAGTATAACTAATACAAGCATAACGTAAAAATTGCATGGGGCGCCCTATTTGGTCGTCCCTTTTTAACTTGTACTCGTTTTATTTTTCCATTTGCATCCGTACCCATTTTTTTGTTAGAAGCGTTTTAAAAAGACGATTTTACCCTTCTTTATTAAAAGACTATTGACTACTGCATGATAAAATTTCAACATGTTTTGGTATGAAGTTTTAGCTTCTATGTAAAATTTTTCCGAATGAGGTTGGAGATCACGCGATTAATGCGTGATGTATGTTTTATATTTTTTGTCACGGGTATAATTATCATATTATTACGGATTTTTTGTTAGATGACTACCAAATTAATAATTTTTAAAAATAGAATACACGTTAAAAAGTGACACAAATATAAGATCCAGCTACAAATTCTCCAAATATAACTAATATCACCGTTACTAATAAACAAGTATAAAAAGTTTTCTGAATACACTTGTTGTTCATCTTCAAAAAGACGCAATCTTCGGAACTAAAGCGTTGTAAAAGAACCGAGTAGAAGTTGGTAAAAAAAAAAACAGACAACTAATGAAAGAACGAATAAAGAAAGGGGACCAAGACAAAGACTAGAACCAAAACCAGCAACTGTCAGACACCAAAGCAAGATCACATGGCAAGTCAAGTGGCCTCTCATTTTTCAATGTAATAAATGTAGAAAATTGAAAGAGGAATTATCCATAGATCAGTGAGCAGACCTATCAAATGGAACCATGTGACCGACCACATATTAATACGATCTGCTATTGACCACATAGGAAGCAGGGAACCAGGCTACATTTAGATAAGCTATCTCCTCTTCGGTTGCGTGCGATAAATGCCATCTGTTTCTCCTTATTCCTTTTCACATTTCAATAACTGCAACATTAAAAGTAGCATACCAATATTTTGCAAATATTTCTTTATTTCAATTAGTACATTCTTTGTCTCAATTTATATGGTACTATTTGACTAAACACAAAGTTCAACAAAAAAATAAAAACTTCATATAGTTATGGTCTAAATCAAGTTTTAAATATTTGAATAGTTATAAATTATCTTATTAAAGGTAAAAAAAATAAAAAAAAGTTAAATTATTTTAAGTATAAAAAATAGTTATTTGTAACAGATTAAATGAGAAACTGTGTTATACATTAATTGGGACAACAGAAGTACTACTCTATCCGGTCTACTTTAAGTGATTTTTTTGACTGTCAAACACAATGTTTATATCATGTATTCATGCATATTGTATGAACAGTATCCATGAATACATGTGTATTCAGCTGCATAAAAAAATACAGACCTTCGAAATACATAAACACAGACAAAAAAATATATTTATACGAAAAATACAATGTGTTTGAGTAAATTTATACAAAATAC